AAAGTGACTGATTCTTTTTTTTTCTTCGAAAATTTGACAGCAGTGTGTGTGTGTGTGTGGTTTGATAAAGTTCTTCTCTTCTGGGCAATTTTCTGTTTGATGGTGTTTGGTATTGTTTACTTTGAAGAAAATGATTGAGCGCGCTTTTCTCGTGAACTTGTTATCAGTTTCTGCCACAGGCATGTCTGTCAAAGCTTGCCACGGAGATTGTATAAACTTAATCACGTGGTGTGCCGTCGGGTATTCAAAAACCCTCACAACTCTGCCACAGTTGTCAAATTCTCGTATACAAAACTAGTATACTTTGTAGCTTATGTTTGTTTTCTGAGAAAACACGTTCAGTATATTTTGTGAATTTTAAAAGTTGATAAAAAATATATATTAAAATCAGAAGAAACTTATAGTAGTTTCTTGTAAATGAAAATTTCAATATATTCGTTTAAATTCCTGGTTTAGAAATTTAAAGTTTGGTACTAGCGAACACCAACTATGTGATATAGTTGTATATATCTAGAATTCTATTTAAAAATATTTTCCCAAATTACAAAATTACTATGAAGGACCGAACAAATAAAAAACTAATTTATGAGCGCTTTTAAAGGTGATGGAGAAATACTTTAATGTTTAAATTAATTATCCACATCTTTGCATGTCAGTTACTCCTTATCACAATAGAACATAAAAACCGATTTATAACATTCTAAGTCTTGTATTATAGACAGACAGGCTTTATTTAAGATTATCTGCCTACGTATGTAATGAACAGGGCCAGACGTGGACAGGTGGTTAGCTTGCCCAAACATTGAATCTGAGGATTTATGGCTTGTGTCTCCTCGTCACAAAAACCGCTATCCATGCTTTGGAGTTGTGGGTGTGCTACAGGAATGATAGTCATTTTCCACTGTTGGTGGCGGGTGCTATTGACAAATTGCCTTCCCTATAACCTATCCAGTGAAAATTAGGACAGCTCGGCGCAGTTAAACCTTATGTAGTTTTGCGCGAAAATTCTGAAATAAATTTAAAGACATAATGAAACTAACCTGGAGTTAATCAACTATATAAAATTATAATCCTAATGTGATGGCTCTAATTCCATCAACTATATAAAAGATTAACCCTAATTTGATGGCTCTAATTTTATCAACTATATGAAATACTAACCATAATGTGATGGCTCTAATTTCATCTTTTTCTTTTTTTACATAAACAATAGAACAGATGTGGTAACAACATCAAGTTCAGTGTTCTGAAATAAATGAACAATTCTTCTATACTAATTTAATTCAATAATTTCTTTCATTCGGAAAGAGCCGATTACAGTTTTGAAAATTATCGTACATCTTCATTAAACAAGAAAGATCACATGTCCAGTTTTCTGTTGTTGTGCGGCCGTTGCGTTTTTGTTTTTGTTGTTGTTGTTTGTTTGTATTCGTTGCGAATGATTTTCAACCTATCCAAGTCAGGGTAGTTGTTCTCAAGCCATATCATGAGTTGCTAGTATCCAATGTGAGTTCGTGTTTTGAGTATTTTTCTATGTTTTTTTCAACTTACATATTATTCCATTAGTCCTACAATACGTTACATATTGTTAACTAACGAGATAATTCCCATTTATACTCTGCTTCTGGTTAAAGCACAAAATCTTGCGTTACGTGACATCAAATTGTATTTTGCAATTTTATGAAATAATACGTGAACCAAGAAAAAGCTGGAACAGCCAACAGTTATATATGGTTTTGACTGAGGTCGAGGGTGTAAGTAATATTATGGTAAGTAATATCAAGTAAACGTGTCGTGTTCGTGCTTTCAAAAAAACAATCACCTGTACACATCTCTTATGTTTGTCGCAGTGGCGCTACAATCACTTTCAAGCACAGCTGTAGCAGTAAACTACTGATGTCATACCGAAAAAAGTCGTGGAAAAGTCAGTATTTAAAAAAAGAGTACAATAATAAGGTGATGAATATTTTATAACCAAATTATCGTATTGTATGCTATTTATAATTAGTTTAATTCATTAAATCAATAGCTTGTTAATCTAAATATGTGTTTGTTTGTTTGTAATCAAGCACAAAGCTACACAATGGCCTATCTGTGCTCTGCCCACCACGGGTATCGAAACCCGGATTTTAGCGTTATAAATCAGCAGACATACCGCTGTGCCACTGGGTGGCCTAAATATGTGTACACAAACCTCTAACAGCTTTTGATTCTACTAACAATTAAAAGCACTAAATGGGAAGAAATATTAATTCCCATACCACAATATAACAAAAATAAAACAATAATAAACCGAAGCTAGTGTAAGATAAACACATTTAATAAAACTGTGACAATGATGTAACACCACAGTTCATTAATTACCAACAAGAGAACTAAAAGAAAAAAAACAAGTGCATTTCTCGACTTGGAATATCAAAGTAAATGAATAATAATAATTTTCTGTTTGAGGTTCGGTTTAATTAATAAAATATTACGATCTAGAATAGTGGGTTCATGATTAATCCACACTACGTAGTCAGATGGTATATATATATATATATATATGTTTCGATAAATTTTTAAAGCCTTTGGATCTGTCCATTATGTATGGTAATTGTTGAAAAGCATGACCAAGAAACAGATAGGGAATAATTATATTGAATACAGTTTGGGCGTCACAAAAATGTATGATAACACTGAGATGACAGAAAGGGAAAACCCAAAACCGTGACGCAGCACGAGACTGACGTGAGATGGCGAGACGTTGAATTGATCACATGAGTCGCCAAGCTGAAAAGTAATACGAGCACATTGAAATGTTTGGATATACTGGACGCACGAATACGTATAACACAAGTGTTGAAATTTTACGTAAAACAGCCTTAACCGTTTAAGAGCACACAAAAACTACTAAGATTTCTAAACTGTATCGCTCTTTTCTCCTTATCTATGAACGTGTAAAACTACGCACACTTCAAAGTTGAGCTACATCATGAACTTAAAAGAACAAACATGAAATAATATTTCTAAAAATGTGAATTTGTCTTCACTGCATATTTAAAATGATTCATAAGTATGAGTGTTTTGCGATATTTTCTAGTAAAATAAAACCTTAATTACCACTCTAGCTAAAATTCACTACAGACAATACACCCCCCCCCCCCCACAGTGGTTTGTCCTTCACGGTTTTCGACTTTTTCCAACTCCACTTCTAGAAGGAGGATATCGATCTGTGATTCTAATGTTAACCCTAGAGGAATCTTCGTGACAATCTCTTTCAAAGTTGACATCTAGTTGAGCATCTGATGATTAGTGTCGACTAGGCTTAGCTTATTCTGTAGAGTGCCAAACTACTATTTGGTTTTATACTCTGTAGTTTATTATTTATCTGAAACTAATAGTAGTTGAACTAGGTAAACGAACCTATGTAGGCTTCATCATCTTATGAAATGTCTCGAAGCGTCACCCTTTCTATTGGAAACTAAAGAAAATCCTTTCTATTTAAGCATTGCTACAGGACAATAAACCTTTCTGTGGGGTTAAACTTAAAAATGATTTAACTGTCAAATTTTATTATCAAATATAAATCAATAAATTGTTGCTCTGGAGAGGGGAAAATAGAATCAAATATATGTATGTATATATATATATATATTTGTACGTTTAAATCTTAAGGTTTATATATTTGTTCGTTATGCAATAAGCTAGCTAAATACCCCGTTGTTTTGATTTCTGGACACCACACATTTAGACTTTTGTCATCCAAACA